CATCCATCTATCCATTCATCCATCCATCCATCCATCCATCCATCCATCCATCCATCCAAATCATGAAGATCTTCTCCTTTGCTTATACATATACATTGTTTTGTTTTTGGACGGCTTCACCTCTTTGTCGATGAATAACTTCTCGCATTCTCATCATCTATTTACCCTGGCTAAAGCATCCTCATGTTCCGTCTTTACACCGAAGCGAGGCATGGCGGAGTTGGAAAGGCTTGAGCTGTGCGTGAGTTTCTTGACGCCGCTGATGTGACACATAGGTTTCTCTCTGTCCCTCAGCGTCGGCGATGGAATCTCCACCTCGTTCTGCTTATCTGGATAAAGGAAGACAGAACAGAGGTCAGCTGGGGTGATGCCTTACGGTAGACTTACGCCCGCAGAGGTCAGCCACAAACACTCAGAGAGGCAGATTTGATTTACCTAGAAAGGTAGTAGAGATGTATTCTGACACCTGGTTCCCTGAGCGACTCATCTCCGACAAATGTGACAGCTCCCTGTTCAACATTCTTTTGAACTGCGGAGAGACAGAACCAAACGGCATGAGCGGCGTAAACACAACAAAAAAAAAAGCACCAAACTGACATGAACAGAGATCGAAGCATTGATCTCTGCATTGTTTTAGGCATGAAGTCGACCAAGTGAAACGCCGGCCGTAGCAGTAGAGCTAGATATTTCATACCGCTGAATTGATACCATAGCTAAAATTAAACATTCAGGCGGAATAAAGCGAGATCATTGAGTCAGTACCGGAAAGGACTGCAGTACGAAACAAACAAACTGTAGACGGAACTTTATAAGGAAGGACAAATGTCTCTTGGACGGCCACCAGATTGAAGATGGGGACAGAGAAGGAAGTTGACACTGTTTTGGGATCTGCCACATGTCCTATAGCACGGTCGGTATCTTCTCATATTCGCCTCACGAGACACTAAACAGATTTGTTTTGTTTTTTTATTAAGCTGCAAAAAAAAAGTCACTTACTCATTATAAAAACATCAACTGTGGCTGACCAATCCTTGGAACCAAAAAAGATTGGAGACCGATGGTATAGATATGACTATAAATATAATCTATAACAGACTAATACATGTTAATATTGTTCATTTCTATATGATAAAATAAAAACTTTTAATTTCTCAGGTTAAGAAACTCTGCGTCATGGATTTACACAAAATGGCCTGGCGGGCCGCATTTGGCCCCCGGGCCTTGAGTTTGACACGTATGGTTTATATAAAGCAATCGAAGGAGAAAATGAATCAACAGCTATGATGTAATGGACACATCGCAAAGAAAATAACAAAATATCGGAATTCAAAATTGTTTTAAAACATTGACCTCGGTGCATCTTCAGCAAATCTGAACCTGATCGTGAGACACTGAGATAGTCAGACAGGGGGTGATGGGGACAACTGTACTTTGACCTACATTACAAATCATGTTTATACACCAGGAAAAATAAACGATCATCTCCATTCACAGCTGTGCGATTGTCATGCGTTAACAGACTGCAGCAGCAATATGATGTCTAAACTGCTCTCATGTCAGGTAGCCATCTTTTTTTTTCCCCCCTCTCTGGTCGGTACATGTTGTGCCGACAATTATGCGATTTAAGTGAAGAAGATATCGCTGGCCAAAACTATTTTCATAAACCTCCGTCTGAGATTCTTGCATTTATTCCGGGGTCTAACGGGTCACAGAGAGCCGTACCAGTTTATGAAAGTACGAGACGATTCAGACAAGGACCCCTCTGTGTCTGTGTCCTTCTGACTGATCTTTCACACATAACGTTCTCTATGGCAACCACAGCTGTTGCCGTGGCAACTGCCTCCTCTCAGCCAGTCCTTCGGTTTGATGCGAGAGAGAGCGAGCGCCGCGGCTGCCTGGGTGACGATTTGAGGGAGTAGTCTGTTGTCTCTGACCTTTGCCAAGGTCAACCATCTCCTCCACGGCTTTCTTCCTTTGTAGGTCTCTCTAAACGTTGTTTACCATTCACTCCTCCTAGCCTCCTCGTGTTTAATCGTTCCCACTACTGTCCCTAAACACGTCTTTACCGCAGGCTTTACTGTCATGTCGTTTCACACACATATAGAATTTTATTCAAAACTGTTTACTTAAAAAAAAAACTGCTTGTTTGACAATGCAACAAAAGCAGGAAAGCCAATCAAGTAGAGTGAGCCCAGAGCACTTCCTCTTTCTTTCTTTCTTTCTTTTTCTCCCTTTTTTCTTTCTTTCATCCTTCCTTTCTTCCTTCCTTCCTTCATTTCTTTCATCCTTTCTTCCTTCCTTCCTTGCATCCTTTCTTTCTTTTTCCTTTCTTCCTTCCTTCTTCCTTTCTTCTGTCTTTCCTTTCTGTCTTCCCTCCTTCCGTCCTTTCTTCCTTTCTTCTTTCCTTCCTTCCTTTTTTCCTTTGTTCCTTCCTTCTATCCATCCTTTTTTCCTTCCTTCCTTCCTTTCTTCCATCCTTCCTTTCTTCCTTCCTTCCTTCATTTCTTTCATCCTTTCTTCCTTCCTTCCTTCCTTCGATCCTTCCTTCCTTCCTTCCTTCCCCCCTTTCTTCCTTCCATCCTTTCTTCCTTCCATCCTTTCTTCCTTCCTTCCATCCTTTCCTTTCTTCCTTCCTTCCTTCCTTCCATCCTTTCTTCCTTTCTTCCTTCCTTCCATCATTTCTTCCCTCTTTCCATCCTTTCCTTCCTTCCTTCCTTCCTTCCTTCCTTCCTTCCTTTCCTTCCTTCCTTTCTTTCTAGCACACTGTTGTTGTTCGTCCCTTCCCTGATGCTGGAACGCTGAGTCATAGCTGCCAACCGCTACTTCCACGGCAGAGGTCTGATGCCAGGACAAACAACACACTTTTTCTCACACTGACAAATTAAGCAAACACACAGACTCTGCAAGGGCATGAGCACACACACACACACACACACACACACACACATTCCCCGGGGGAAGATGAATGCTAACTTTCTGCCAGTATCAGGCACAACAAATGTGACTTTCTACTGATCTCTTTCACGTCTTGTTGACGACGACTCAAGGGATAGACAAGGAGGTAAAATAAGCCGCCGTTTCTCAGCGTCCACAGACAAAGTATTATTTTGCCAACCCTCCTTTGAGTTGGTGCCACAGACCTGTAGAAGCTAACCTTCACCACATGCCCTGCCGGGCCATCCTCACGTCCTGAAGAAAAGTTCCAAAACTTTGATCACGCTCGTCATCTTTAGCTCACTAACACACACACACTAATGGCTTTCTTACAGGTGTATCGACCTAAGCCTTGGGCTGAATGGGAATGCAGGTGAGTAGTTTAAAAACAGACATGATGTGAAAGTGCAGTGCAGACGCATCTGCAGTAAACACAGAGGAAAAGTAACAACAAAGTCCCAGCTTTCTTTAAGACGGCTCAGCATTTTAACCCAAAGGTGAGTGGAGGACTCCAGACATGAAGAACAAGATTGGCACTGTCTTCTTACTCGTAATGGTGTTGCTGTACAGAAGCACCAAAATCAGATTCTCCATCCATCCATCCATCCATCCATCCATTTTCATCCGTTTATCCGTTACCGGGTCAGCGGTCGCCACCCAAATCCCACTGCACCGTACCAACCCCCCTAAACCTTCCTGCGGGTGGTGAGTCCACTGGAAGGTACCAATCGCCCTAACTGGGATTCAAACCTGCCCAGGAGGTGAACCCTGGGGTTCCACACCAATGACAGAGACATTGCCTCTGGGCCAAAGCGTCACCAAATCAGATTCTGTGCCTTAGAAATTATGGACATAAATACGATCTACTTCATCGTATATCATCGCGTTATTTCACTCTCTGGTACGATGTACACTGTTACTACATGGTAGATTGTTCATACAAGTAGCAGTTGAACCAGTAGGATCCATCCGGACCCTATCATTCAAATAAGTGTAAGTCCTCTGCCCAGGCCTAGTTCGCCCTTTGCTAGCTCTCCAAGCCTTACCTGGTCCCACCAACCGATGAGCCAGGGCCTGGAGCAGGTCTCACAGAACAGGTCAACTAAGGGTGTCCTGCGCTCTGCCGCCGTCCCAGCGCCTTCCAGGACCCCGCCAGCGGCTGCACCGAGGTCCAGCTCTGCCCCTGGCCTCCCCTGCAGGGGGCTGTAGCTGGAGGAGCGGGGCAGCCTGTAACCTCCTGGCACAGGTGAGGGGCAGGCGGAAGGCATGGGCTCGATCGCCTCAACGACGCCCATGTTGAGAGTGACGGGGGGTTTAGGACGCTGACACAAGCAGGTGGTGCGATAGTGGAGAGGGACGGGGGAACTTTGGGCGCCCCAGTGGCATGAGGGCGTCGTCCGGGTATGTGGGGAGAGACCACAGCTCGTCAAACCGGGACACTCCAGAGTGACGGCTGCCCCCAGAGGGGAAAAGGGGGGGGGGGAAGGGGCAGGGATAAGGGCAAGGGGGTGCGGGGGTAGA